TAACCAGCGGCCCAGGCCTCGCGGGCCCGGGCACTTGGGGGAGGGGTGGAGGTCGTCTCAGCCCCCACCCCAGTAGTTCCGGCCTCAGCGGCTCCTTCCGCCCGGGCGGGCCAGATAAGAGTGGACCTGACATTCTGGGAGGCGGGGCCCCCTCGTCCCTCGAGCGCTCACACGCGTCGCTCGGCTGCGCCGGGCTGGGCCGGGCTGGGCCGGGCCGGGCTGGGGAGAAGCCTCAGCGTCCCAGCTGGACAAGCCCCCGCCCCCAGCGGATGGCAGGGAGGGGGGAAGCCACTTATTTCATCTTACAGATAAGGAAACTGAGGCTGGAGCCTGGCCACCTCAGAGCGGGAGACCGCGGTCCTGTATTCTAGTTCAGGGGAAACTGATGGAGGCGGGTGGGGTTGTCGGGGAAACCCGCAGACCGCAGTTAGCAGGCAGAGGCCGAGAGCCCAGCTCTGCCCGGTGGAGCTGCGGTGGCCCTGCGTGCTGTCCCTGGCCTCCCGCGTGCTCCTTCCCAGTCCAGCTAGGGCACATTTGTCCAGTGCTGACTTGTGCCGGAGCAGTGGACCGGTTAGGCGCTGAGGCTGCTTGGGCTGGGCATCTGTCCTCTGAGTCTGAGTTCCCTGTCTGTAAGCCTGGGTGGCATCAGGACTCACAGGAGGGGGCGGGGAGGCGGGGACTGAGGCGGCACAGAGGCCCAGAAGGCAGGGAGGGGGTGGTGGCGTCACAGGACCCCACATCCTCAGCCGGCCCCTCCCTCCCTTGCAGAAATTCTGAGCGGAGTCATTCGAAGCGTCAAAAAGGATGGGGAGTGGAAGGTAGGAGACGCTTTGGTCCCAGCCACTGTTGGGGCCCTGAGCGAGACCCCTGAGAGCTCTGAGGAGATCCACCGGGTGGGGCGGGATGAGGCTGCTGTCCTGGGTCCGGCCACCGCTTGGCTCGTGAGGCTCTCAGGAGGGGCCGCCCCGTCCCCAGCCCCTCAAGGCCAACTGCGGCCTCTCGGCCCCCTGTCTGCCCACCCACCGCCAGGTGCTCATCATGGACCACCCCAGCATGCGCATCCTGTCGTCCTGCTGCAAGATGTCAGATATCCTGGCCGAGGGCATCACCAGTGAGTGGGCACCCCTGCCCACACCGTCCAGCTTACACTGAGTATAGGCTCCGAGCGTTCAGGACTCCCAGTACACATCCCCGCACTGACACCCCCGAATGCGTGACCCCCAGCACATTCCACAAACGTACAGCGAAGTGTAGCAGTGATAGGTAGACCCACCGCAGGCCACCCTCCTTGACTGTGCAGCTCCTGTGTGTGCAACCCCATGTGGACCCCCTGGGTGAATTCGGTGTAGGGTCCTCAGGGGAGACCCCCTGAATGTGACCTCTGCCCCCGCAGCTCAGGGAGCAGCCCCCGCCTTGAACTTGTGCCTTCTCTGTTCCTCCTAGTTGTCGAGGACATCAACAAACGGCGTGAGCCCATCCCCAGCCTGGAGGCCATTTACTTGCTGAGCCCCACGGAGAAGGTGCCTGTGTGGACGAGTGTGTGTGTGCGTGTGCGTGTGCACCTCTGTGCATGCCTGTGGGGGGACAGGAGGTGAATGGGGGTGGGCAGAGGACGGACAGGGCTGGGGGTGCCAGGCTGGGCCTGAAGCGTGGTCTGCATCCCAGTCAGTGCAGGCCCTGATTGCAGACTTCCGGGGGACGCCGACCTTCACCTACAAAGCAGCACATGTCTTCTTCACCGACAGTGAGTGCCACGAGCTGGGAGAAGGGGGGCTCGTGGGGGCCGTGGGGCTGCTCCGCCTGACACCCCTTCTTGCCCACCCAGCCTGCCCTGAGCCCCTGTTCAGCGAGCTGGGCCGCTCCCGTCTGGCAAAGGTGGTGAAGACGCTGAAAGAGATCCACCTGGCCTTCCTGCCCTACGAGTCCCAGGTACAGCTGGCCCTGTCCCGGGCGGGGGCCAGGTCCCGCAGAGGACACTGAGCTGAGGGGACCCCAAGGCAGCGCCAGGCAGTCTGGAGTGCGCCTGGACACTGGCCCGCCCTCCTGGGCTGGGCTTCCTCAGCCTCCCAGGCCTGTGGGCCGCACTGGCTCGGGAGGGAAAGCTGGCGCAGGGTGCCCAGGCGGCACGACAGCGGCTGCTCCCACTGCCCCCCAGGTCTTCTCCCTGGACGCCCCCCACAGCACCTACAACCTCTACTGCCCCTTCCGGGCCGGGGAGCGGGCGCGGCAGCTCGAGGCCTTGGCCCAGCAGATCGCCACACTCTGTGCCACACTTCAGGAGTACCCAGCCATCCGCTACCGCAAGTGGGCACCCCTCCAGTTGCTGTCCGGCCTGCACCCAACCTTACCCGCTCTTCTCAGCGCCCCCATCTCAGCCTACCTCCATCCCTAGCCCCCCACTGCCCCCCAGGCCTGCCCCCCCAACCCTCCCGACCACATGCCTGTATCCGACCTCCAGGGGCCCGGAAGACACCGCGCAGCTGGCCCACGCCGTCCTGGCCAAGCTGAATGCCTTCAAAGCAGACACCCCTAGTCTGGGCGAGGTGAGGGGGCGTGTCGGGGAGCCGGGGTGGGGCTCGGCCATGGCTGGGCTCGGTGTGCACACCCTTGCTTTGGACCCTCCTCCAGGGCCCTGAGAAAACTCGCTCCCAGCTTCTGATCATGGACCGGGCGGCCGACCCCGTGTCCCCGCTGCTGCACGAGCTGACGTTCCAGGCGATGGCCTATGACCTGCTGGACATCGAGCAGGACACATACAAGTGGGCAGACCCTGGGACCTGCCCCGCCAGCTCGGCCCTGCCCCCCGCGCGCCCCTCCCTGACGGCCCTGTCGCGCAGGTACGAGACCACGGGGCTGAGCGAGGCCCGCGAGAAGGCCGTGCTGCTGGACGAGGACGACGACCTGTGGGTGGGGCTGCGGCACATGCACATCGCCGACGTGTCCAGGTGCGTGCGGGCGAGGCTCCCGGGTGTCCCCAGTGGGCTCACCGTCCTGGTGCGCCCCGCCCTGGGCTGTGCGGCGCCCCCCTCACCCCCACCGACCCCCAACCCTAGGAAAGTCACAGAGCTCCTGAAGACCTTCTGCGAGAGCAAGCGGCTGACCACCGACAAGGTAGGGCTGGCCCGGCCGGAGCGAGGCTCCTCGCCACGGGGGCGGGGGGCTCATGCCTGCCTGTCCCCACTGTCCCCAGGCCAACATCAAGGACCTGTCACACATCCTGAAAAAGATGCCGCAGTACCAGAAGGAGCTGAACAAGGTAGGCCGGTGGGCACCGCCCTCCCCCACGCCGCCTGTCTGCGCCTTGACTCAGTCTGTCACCCCAACTCTCACCCCGCCCCAGTACTCTACACACCTGCATTTGGCTGACGACTGCATGAAGCGATTCAAGGGGACGGTGGAGAAGCTGTGCGGGGTGGAGCAGGTGTGGGGGCCGAGCTGGGGCTGACCGGGGGTCCCTGCGGCCGGCCGGCGGGCGGGCCGGTGAGGAGGACCTGGGCAGGCCTCTGCCGCAGGGGTGTGGGACCTCTGAGGCTCGGGGCGGGCGAGGCGGCCCGCAGGTCTTTCCCAGGCCCCTCCCCCCCGCAGAGACCCAGGGCCCAGCCGACCCCTGTGGCCCTAGGACTTGGCCATGGGCTCCGACGCGGAGGGCGAGAAGGTCAAGGACGCCATGAAGCTGATGGTGCCGGTGCTGCTGGACGCGGCCGTGCCGGCCTACGACAAGATCCGGGTGCTGCTGCTGTACATCCTTCTGCGGAACGGTGGGTGGGGCCTCGGCCCCAGGCGCCTGGGACCCTCCCTCGCGGCTCCCGCCCCCAGCTCCTGCCCGCGGGGCGCCCCCACCTGCCGCCCCCACCTGCCGCCCGCCGCAGCTCGGCCTTTGCTCTCTGGCGCCCTGCAGCGCAGGACACTCCAGGCCCGGTCCCTCCAGCTCACTGCAGGGAGCCCCGGGCTGCCGGGGTCTCCGTGGCAGGGCGCCCTTGCACTGATCCCTGTGACTCCTGCAGACTGAGGGGCGACCTGCCCCGCCCAGGTCCTCCTTGCGCCACCCCAACCCGAGCCCTGGAACCCACGGGGCTTCCTGCCAGCCCCTCCTGCCCGCCCCACCCCTTCAGGTGTGAGCGAGGAGAATCTGGCCAAGCTGATCCAGCACGCCAACGTGCAGGCCCACAGCAGCCTCATCCGGAATCTGGAGCAGCTGGGAGGCACTGTCACCAACCCCGGGGTACGCGGGGCAGGCGCGGTGGGGCAGATGCGGGGGGCCCTGGGCATCGCGAGCCGGTGTCCCCACCCTGCAGGGGCACAGCGTGTGGTGTGGCGGGATCCCTGTGGGACAGAGCCCGTGGGCCTGGTGGGGCCGTCAGAGCTCGGGCCCCGCAGGTCACACTGTGAGCGGGGTGAGGGCAGCGCGGCCCCCGGTGGCTCGGGGTGGCGCCTGGGGTCTGCACCCCGGGGACAGCGGCTTCTGCCGCTGTGGGCAGGCGGGTGGGCCTGGCCCCCAGAGGTCTCAGCAGTGCCCACCACCAGCACCCTGGCAGCCTCTGCTTCTGTACCGTGCCCAGCAGCTCTCCTGTCCCTGGCCTGCACCCCCCGCACCCCACCTTCCCCCTCCCCACTCCTCTGCCTCCCCTTTCTCTTCGTCCCTCGCCCCACCCGCGTTCTCTTTTCTCTCTCCCCTTCGTCTCCCGTCCGCTCTGGTCTCTGGTTCTCTCCCACTTCTCAGCTTTGTCTGCACGCCCCAGCCCTGCGGTGACCCCGCCTCCAAATCCCCCCATGCACGCCCCCGGCCAGATGGGCCCCAGCCCCGCGGTGACCCCGCCTCCCAGTCCCCCCACTGGCCCCTTCACGCCGTAGGGCCCCGGAGCCTCTGGCCGGTTGGAGCGGAGGGAGCGCTTGGAGCCCACCTACCAGCTGTCCCGCTGGACCCCCGTCGTCAAGGACGTGATGGAGGTGCCTGTGGGGGGCTGGCCACCTTGGTCTGGTCAGGCCGTCCCCCTCCATGTTCACGGTGCTGCCCCTCGGGGCTCACAGAATCCCTCGCTGCCGGCACCCGGCGCCTCTGCCTGGCAGGAAGCTCCGAGCCTGTACTGAGGAACGGGCCCGCACCCCGCCCTCTGATCCCTCCATCTTCTCCCTTAGCCCCGAGAGTCCCCCTGGCTCCTTAACTCTCCCGCCACCCCTCCCTTCACCCCTCCCTATTCTGGGGGCCCAAAGCAGCAACTGCCAAAGGACCAGGCCCAAGGCTGGTCTGGGTCTTCCTTCCTGGGGTCCCTGTGAGTCCCCGCGGGCCGTGCGGGTCAGGGCTCCGGGCTCCCTGGGGGCTCCCTGTTCCCCAGAAGAACGGCATCCTTAAGGGCGAGGGGCCGGTTCCTGGGGCCCGAGGGACTGGAGTGGTGGATCCTAGGTCCCCGGGGCGGGGCCCACAATCCGGGCCCTGGTGGCTCTGTCTGCCAGGACCTCGGCCCCTTGGCCCGCAGCCGGGGGCTTCTCGCCTGAGCCGCCTGTCACCACCCAGGACGCCGTGGAAGACAGGCTGGACCGGAAGCTGTGGCCCTTCGTGTCTGACCCCGCCCCCACCCCTAGCTCCCAGGCTGCGGTCAGGTGAGGCCTGCTGGTGTCAGGTGAGGGGCGGGTGGGGGTCTCTGCCTGAGTGACCGCTGCCCCCCTCCCCCGGAGCAGCGCCCGCTTTGGCCACTGGCATAAGAACAAGGCCGGCGTGGAGGCGAGGGCGGGCCCCCGGCTCATCGTGTTCGTCATGGGCGGTGTGGCCATGTCAGAGATGAGGGCCGCCTACGAGGTGACCAAGGCCACCGAGGGCAAGTGGGAGGTGCTCATAGGTGAGTGGCCAGGCCCGGCTGGGGCGAGGCTGTGAGTGGCACCCCGTGCCCCAGGGCCCGCGGGCGGGGCTGGGCGCGGCTCCTGTCTTGGGCCTGCGGCTGCAGTGGGGAGTGGCTGGGTCTTCAGCCCCCGGGGCAGGGGTCCGCTGTGGGGCCCAGATTCCTTCTGTCAGGAGCTGGCTGGGGCATGAGGGCCCGAGCAGGGCCCCCACCTCGCCGCTGCCCCCTGCCCAGGCTCCTCGCACATCCTCACCCCAACCCGCTTCCTGGATGACCTCAAGATGCTGGACCAGAAGCTGGAGGATATTTCCTTGCCCTGACCCCCGCCCCCAACGCACCTACCCCTTCCTTTCAGAGAAATAAATCCCTGCCTCCCTGTGCCAGCCACCTCACTTTCTTCCCGAGGGAAAGAACTGGGCTTCTGCGGGCCCCTCCCTGCCTGCGCCACAGCCCCCACCGGCTCTGTCCTGCCGAAGGGCGTGCTAAGCTGCGTACAAGTTGAGACCTTGGGCTCTGGTCTGGACTTGACTGAGATCTACGGCCCTTCTACTGCGATCCTGGCCGATGTGCGGGGCACCCACGCGGTGGGGGCTGTGATGGCAGAGGTGTGTGGCACTGACGCTGACGACGAGGGCAGCTGCCATCCTCCCCCCGCTGCAGTCCGCTGCGGCCCCGGGCGGTTCGTGCTGGGCACAGCGGGCTCTGCACCGGCCCTTGGCCCTTGCGCTGGCCCCGCCAGGCCCGGAGCCACAGGGCCCGGGTCTGCGTCTGTGAGGGTGGCGCACAGCAGCCCTCAGCCCAGAGCGAGAGCTCCCCTGTTCCTCCGCTGCACCCTCAGGGTGTTCACGGGGGCGTCACTGCAGGGCTCATCGGGCCTTTGCCAAGGTCCCGTGGCTGGGGCCGCTGGCTGTGGGACTAGCACGTGGCAGCCGCCGTCTCCTCGTCGCCTCACCCGGTCTCGTCCGCCTGTGTGTGCCCCGATTTCCTTTCCTTGTAAGGACCGCAGTCAGACTGGGCTGGGGCCTGCCCTCATGACCTAGTTAACTTAATCATCACCTGAAGACTATCTCCAATACAAGGCACCTCTGAGGTCAGGGAGTTAGGGCTCCACCGTGAACTTGGGGATACATAGCCTAGCCCCAACACTTGACTGAGATGAGATGTGGATCTTAGTTCAGATTGGGCAGGTGAGGAACGTTCTCTTGTGCACAGCCACAGCCACACAGGCGACCTGTCACCAGAGGACACTAATCTACCCAGTCTGTGCAGTCAGGGAAGGCTTCCTGGAGGAGGTGAAGTTTGAGTTAAGGATGAAACGAGAAAAGCCAGGGAAAGGAGAAGCTGGCGCAGTGGTGGCAGAGACGCAGGCGTGGAATGGCGCCCGCGTGCTCAGGGACACGCCCTGCTGGCCACCACATTAAGGCCTCAGGGTGGTTCTGGGCCCCGGTAGGAGCCGTGGGAAACTGAAGGAACCTGAGCAGGGCAAGTGGGGCCCAAGTTTAAAGCTGGAGGTGTGGGCCTGGGTGGTGGGACATGGGAGGGCTGCTCCTCAGAGGGCTGCTTTCCTTTCTGCCCCCGCTGGGGTCCCCTCAAGGCCGGGGCCAGCCCATTGCTGCCCTCTTAGCCCGACTTGAGGTCCTTTATCCTTTTGAGAGTTCAGGGCAATTTAAGGATACTCGGTCCGGAAAAATTGGACACACATTTTTGCAGGTGTGGACTCTTCTGATTCAGCACCTGCACCTCCACGGTGTAGGGGAGACCCCTACCGGGGTAGAGACACGTGCAGGGGGTGGGTGGGGTGCCCACAGCAAGTGGGTCAGCACAGACCCCATGAGGGAGTGCCCTGGACACATTTACCTGCCCGGCCTGGACAGGAAAGCAGGTTCACCATCGGGAGGAGGGGACGGGTGGGGGACGGCTTTTGAGTTTCATATTTAAACCGCGGAGAGACGGTTTTCCTCCAGGGCCCCCTCGTGTAGGTAGGGGCGGTGGGCGCCAGGGGGCGCTGTGGCTCAGCTCGGCTTCTCTGGCTTACTGCCTCTGTCACCAGCCTGGGTGACCCTGATTTGGGAAGTAGGTCACCATCACTCAGTACTTCTGCTGCAGCGAAACTGTTGCTTAAGCCGCCACCGCCGCCTCTCCCCGTGTAGCTAGACGACGCTGTCGTTCTGCGGCATGTGGGCCTTTTGATTCTACAAATATTTCAAGGGCCCTTGAGGGGTGAAGTGGGGCCCCGCGCCTGGGCATGAAGCAGGATCCTCAGAGCCTCCTGTGACAAGAGCCAATCCTCTGACTTCCAGCTCCACTGCCCCGGCTTCAGCCACTGCCTCTCAGGGACAGAACCGCGGACTTGTTCCCGTTTTCCAAACGTCCCTCGCGGTTCCTGCCGCAGGCCCTTTGCACCTCCTGTCCCTGCTGTCGTCGCCTGCGGTGCAGGTCCCCAGCTCTTCATACCTTCCCGTCTCTCCCATCTTAGCTCAAAGGTCACCACTGCTTTGGAGAGGCCTCAATTTACATTCTTGGGGCATTTTTCATATTTCAGGACTTGGTATGTTTTTTGTTCTTTAAGGTTTTTCTTATGCATACAAGAACGAGGGAGCAGGGCAGAGGTGCAGGGGGTTGAGGGGACTCACCAGAGACAGGGGGTTGAGGGGACTCACCAGAGACAGAGTGGGGAGCAGAATAAGCAGACTGACTGAAATCCACTGCTGAGGAGAGCAGGGGGAAGACAGGAGAGGTCTGGGGCACCCTGGGGGTCCCTCCCTGGCTGGGGATTGCACGCAGGCCACAATGGCTGGTGATAGCCTGCTCACACTGAGACTTGAACCCCAATGTGGTGTGCTTTATTTTGGGTTCTCTTCCTCTCTGGGGTGGGGGGGGGGATGATTGGCGCCTCCTGGTGACCTCCTGAGTTGGTTCCTCCACCTTTGCCCACATGGGTGCAGCCGGCCTGCAGGACGATGGGGGAGGCCACTGGGCGCCCGGTGCAGGAGAGGACGCTGAGGAAGAAGGGCCCGAGGCCCGCCAGCTGCCCAGCAGACAGAGGAAGTGGCTGATGTGATGGGGAATCCAGACGTGGAGGGAGCCGGGAGCTTCCCTTTGAAAATTTCTTCTAAAGTTGCTCAAAGTCTTAAAACACAAGTTAGCCAACATCGCCGAAAAGAAAATTGTGAAATGGTGTCCAGGGTGAGGAAACTGTCCTTCCAGGGGGAGGGAACCCTGCTCCAGCAGGGTCAGAGATGGGGTCCCCTGGCCCCCCCACTTGGGCAGGTGGCAGGACAGGAAAGGGGAGCCCTGGCCCGGCGCACCTGGGTCCCTTGCCGGCCACTCAGATGGCTGCGGCCATTCTGGAACAGCAGCCCGCGGGCCCTGGGACGGCACCCGCCCTGCCGGGCCCCCCAGAATCGGGAGGGGCCCGCCGGGGAGGTACTTCGGGCGGCCCTGTGCCGTGTGACCTCACAGTTGGGGCGGTTCACCCCCAGCCCTCCAGAGTCACGCCTGCCGCTGCCATCACGAGCTCGGGGGTTGATAGCTGCACAGTTGCGGCCACGGCGGGGCAGGGCAGGGCCGAGTGGCGGGTGCCCCGTCCGGTACTGTCCGCCGGTCACTGGGGCCTGGAGGTGTGGGACTCGCAGAGGCAGAGGACGGCGGTGCCTGGCCAGGGGCCGGCCGGGGGCTGCTCGGCCGAGGGGACAAAGTTGTGTCCAGACGATGAACATGTGCCGGGGACCTGGAGTGCACCCCGTCGTGACTGCCCAATATTGTATAAAGTCCCTGAAAGGGGCCACGCAGTAGCTCGCCATAAAAATAACCCCCAAGCCTGTCATTACGTGGGCGCTGGAGGTGTTGGCTAACTTTCCGTGGGAAGCGACGTGGCTGCTTTACAGTCTACGTGTGAGTCACATCGACGCTCTGGACAGCACGCCGAGGCCCTGTCCCAGGGCAGGCTCAGCTCTGTGCAGCTGGGGGCCCTTCACCCTCGCCGGGCCCTGTGAGTCACTGCTAAGAACACGCCCACGTCACAGATGGGGAAACCGAGACCCAAGGCTGTGGCTGCTTGCTCGGGGCGCCCACCCCAGGAGCCCCTCGACGGTCCCCTTTGGTTGCTGGGAAGAAAGGCAGGGGGGCAGGGAGGCTGCCGTCCTGGGGGCCGGCCCGAGCCGTGTCGGCGGGGTGCAGGGCTACCCCACAGACCTTCCTGTGCCCTACCCCGCCCACTGTGTCCCCCTCCCACGTAACCCCGCCCCGCGGTGTGGGTGGGAGAAAGTTCTGGTTAAAGGACTTGACCGCAGAGCGGAAGTTTCAGAGTGACGGACCTGACCCAGCACCAGTGTCCCTGTTATAAAACCACACGGGGCTACGTTAGCTGATTTGGGGACTCGGGAGCCCTGGGGCAGGCGGTGGAGACCTAGAGCTGGGCCACAACTCAGTGTTACCCCAGGAAGCTGTGGCGAGCAGCCCCCGCTTTCATTCCCCATCACCTCCTTTTATTCAGTTCCTCAATTTTGGGGGGAACAAGAGCATGGGTTACAGCATAAACACCCCTCCCGTTTCCTGGTTACTCGAGGTAAATAGGAATATTGAGGAACTTTCCTCTTCTAAACTTCTGTATTCCTTAAATTCCTTTTTAAACGAAGCTATTTTATTTGTTGTAAAAGAAAAACACAGAATATTCTGAGAAGCATTGCATTTTGCATTTTTTTTGAGATTTATTTATTTATGCTTGCAGAATTGGAGTACGGGCCAGAAGTGTGGTGGATGAGAGGAACCCCCAGAGACAGAGTGGGGAGCAGAACGGGCAGCTTGAAACCCACTGCCGAGGGGAGCAGCGGGGAGAGCAGAGAGCTGCCACGCCCCATGGGTCAGATCCCTGGCCGGGGATCGAACTCGGGCTGCAGGGGCTTCGGAGAGCTTCACAGTGCGGTGCTTAACACGTGCCACCAGGGAGAGCCCCGCATTTTGCATTTTTAAACAGGAAAAGCAAAGCTGGGACAGCAGAAGTAGCTGTCCGGGGAGTGCTCCCCCAAACACACACCCACTCCTTGGGCTCCCTGTTGGCGCAGCGGGTAACAGCGCAGTGCCGTGAAGCTGGCCGCAGCCACTGTAGCATGAGTTTGACCCCCGGCGGGGAGGAACCCCCAGGGCGCAGCAGAACTCCTGACTCCCCGCTGCTCCCCTCAGCAGTGTGCTTCATCCATCTGCCTGTTCTGCTCCCCGCTCTGTCTCTGGGGATTCCTCTCCCTCACCCCATGCACCTATGGCCAGCACCCAGTTCTGTGTGCACAAATAAATTGAAACAAGAAATGTTCAGGCCAGTGCCCCCGGGTTCAGGCTCTTCGACCCTGCTGGTGACCCTGGGCACCTCTGGCCTCAGGCTCTC